CGACATGGTTCTTGGTTCTTCCCCTTCAAAAGCTTACAAGCCAATCATAAGTTGTTTTATTTTTTGGAGCAGGGTAACCAGGGCAGGACTTAGGGGGAGTCGGGTCAATACAGTAGAGATCTCTGTACCAGTGGTGAGTGCAGCGATGGGCTGACGTATTTGAGGGCAGAGCATGTACCTTAAAACAAGAGGTGAGGAGCACATGGATGGATATTTGCAATGAGTGGAGGGAAGGAAATTGAAATCACACTGCAGACAATGAGAGGAGCCATTAAAACTCAGCCCTCTTATTTCTGTCCCAATTATTGCATCCTAAATGGTTTTCTTCTCTAAACTCTTTCCTCAAATCTATTTTAAACAGTGTTGCATTTTTAATGTGATATTATCATAATCTGTGGATAGGTCGTTCTCTTCTGAATGTGAGAGCCTTAGGGGCAGGGATCATTCATTCCTTTAGTGTCTGGGAAGTAACTTGGATAATGCTTTATGCCTAAGAGGTTCTCACTACCTTCTTTTTCTGACTCATATGTGTAAATCAATAAGTTATCTAATTTGAATTCATCCATTCTCCTAAAAACCATGCCATCAAATGCCTTGCTATTATTAATCCATATAGTATCAAATGCTGCTGAGTTATTCAAGGAATTATCATTGGTAGAGTGGCTGCTGCTTTGAATACTGTGTTTCACAAAGTGTGTGATCAGAAATAGAATAGCGTATTTCTAATACCAGACTTAAATCAAAGCAATGAGTAGGGAAGCGAGCTTAGTCAGTGTGGGCACAACAAAATTGATGAACGCTAACAAGGGTCACACATTTCACTATTCAAAAACTTAAATTCTTATTCCAAATCTCTCCATGGATTGAGTGATTAGCTTTGTTTGTTTTTAAATGAAAGCTTCTGGCACCCAAAGCTACATTGATCATTTAACCATTTAAGATGTCTGTTATATTCATTTCATTCTGGGCAAAAAATGATCAGAACCATTGACTCAGATCCTTTACCTAAGAACTGCAATTCATGATTTTGGCAGAATATCACATGCATTTTGAATATGAGGGAAGATTACAAAGTGTGGCTACTCTGGTTCCCTTCATCCACGTGCCCATCGATTCCAAACAAAACATGCTTAGACACGTATGTCTCTGTCATCAGGGAATGCCTCTGACACATTCCCGCAGAATACATTTGTCTTCGTGAATGCCTCTGACACATTCCCGCAGAATACATTTGTCTTCGTCTCAGTAGCTTGTTGTCTTTTTTATTTTCTTCAAGGTCCAATCACAACAGTGGCTTCATAAGGGATCTATTGGACCAGTTCAATTCAAAGCAGAGAGGCCAGCTTAGAAGGCGATGGCGATTGTTTGTGACATGTGGAAGAGGTTATCTTAATAGATTTTTCTCAAAGGACATAGAACAATGATGGGGCTTATTATGAAGACATTTTTTTTTTTAAAAAAAAAGGAGAACAGTATTGGTGAGAAAAAAGGCCAGAAACATTGTCCTGAAAATTTTTATTTCCCACCACTACAAGGCACCTTCTTAGTCTTTGAGGGAAGGAAGGGCCGTCCTATGGGAATTTCCTTAGAAAACCATATCCTACGAACCTAATTTTACCACTCCTACCTCCCTTTTGTTCCCTAAACTATAAACATTGGAAAGGAACACAATTTGAATCCCTCCGGAAGCCAAAATTGCCGTTTGCTATGATATACATTAAAGAGCACAACGTTCCTGAGAGAAAGCCTAGAGAGATGACAACACCACCTACAGAAGTATTTAGGCTATTTCGAGAAACAGTCATTTCACAGTTTAATATCTTTCTTTAATAAAGGTTTCTACGTTTTCACACATTTCAAAAGCTATTTTTCAAAATGAAAAAAAAAACCCTCTCACTTTCTCTTACAAAATTGCTTGAGGCTCTGGACCATTGCCTCTGAATTATTTGAAAATTATTGATGAAGAAGTTGTTATGATGAACCTCACAACTAGTCAACGTTTCAGATATTTACTTTTATAGACTGTAAAGGTCTTTTCTGCTAGGGAAATAAAACCAAACAAAACCGAGGAACCTCTAAAGATAAGTGATTAAACTAGCCCAAAGTTTCTCAGCCTAAAGCTTTAGGAATTATATGTCGTCGCTTGTTGTTCAAAAGCTTGGTGGCAATTTTTCACCAACTGTTATTAAAGGAACCTTCCAGTAGATGAAATGTAGTCCTGAAATGCACACGTGAAGGCCAAGTGTATTCAGGATATGAAGAAGGGGTGATTAAAAGAAGAATTACTGGTGAGTGAGGAGGAATTTATTTCATGCTCAGTGAATTGTGGCATTCTCTGCTCTGGCGTGGTGGGCTAAGCTTTAGGCTGCTAATCTACCGATCACTCTGTGGGAGAAAAAGGCGGCTGTGCGCGCCCATGAAGACCTGGAGCCTCAGAAACCCGCGGGAGCAGTTCTGTTCTGTCCTACAGGGTCACTGTGAGCTGGAATTCACTCAAAGACAGTGGGTTTGGTTTTAGCTGTTAGTAAAATATACTGATAGGGAAATGATTACATTGTCTAGCTTGCATGGAAGAAAAGTTACAAATTGCAAATTCCAAATTGCAGTGACCACACTAAATTAAATACATTCTCTTAGCAAAGATGTGTAGTCTAATTAAGTGTGTGACCACATAGTGGGAGAACTCTGTCAGGTCTGGTAACTGTGGATCTTGTGCACTATGCATCAGGCTGCAGCCCTATTCTGCCTTCGATTCCTGTGTGTAACATCCAATGCTTGTTCTTGGTAGTTCCTTGACCTCGATGCCCTTTATTGTGCTGTAATTTTCTACTCCCTTTCTTACTGAATTCTCATGCAGTTTCTCTTTGGTGGAATATTGAATAGTCATTGGAATGATTCAACAACATGAGGGATATTATTTAAAATGTACTTTTAAAGTATGTTTTCATCAGATTGTATTTCCAATTTTTTCATCTTCTTAAAATTATGCTCCTATGCAACAATATATACTAAATGTTATAAGCAAGGACTAACTTTTAGTGAATATTTTCCCTCAAATATTGACTTTTTGTTTCAATAAAAGATACCTTAGATATTTTTATGGGATTTTTGTGTGTGTGTAGTCATGCTGATGAAGGAAAAATTAAAGTTCTATAAAGCCTGATGCTGATTACTACATCTGTGATACTTGCCAAAATTATATTAAATTTATGTTCATAAGATTTGAGTTCCTTTTTCTCTGTGGCTCAGGGCATAGAATCCTTCTTGGAGAGAGTTTGGGGTCCAGGCAGCTTTACCAAGTGGGCGGGAGTTCTAGGCAGTAAGGAAGGTCTAGTACTTGAAGGGGAGAAAAAAGTGGAGCGGTGACATTTGTTAACTGGTATAGTATTTGTTCTTGATGAAGAGCCTTGTGACCTTGATATCGTTCCTTGCCTGTGTCCCTCTTCACTAGTTTGTATGAGAAATGGATAGAGCTGTGGGTAGTACAAATCTTTAAGCATATATGGGATGTGCAGGCAGAAAACGTTGCTTTAGTATTTGGATTAAAATATTACAGTTGAATCAGGTGATGAGAAAATTATGGTCATACAGTATAATAGCACTCACTACCAAACATCATATATACTAATATATACTAATCACTGTATATTATGTAAGTCTGCGTGTTAATACTAAGATTAGCACTTTAATACTCAATACCTATTTTCCCTTGGAAGACTCAGGGCCTAGTAACTTATGTAGGATAATTCTATTAAGTCATTATTTCTTGTGAAATGTCTTTGAAAAGCTATTTTTTCCCTCTTTAACAAAGGTACGTTTTTGAATGTAGAAATAATTACAAAAACAACTATTTATTTTATAACTTAAATTATTAAAATATTTATAATAGAAAATATCATTTAAAATCTAGGGAATTCCTAAAAAATAAAAATTGAAGCCATAAATTCTTTCTACATTTCTGGAAATATATTGTACTGCTCCAATTTTCATTTGATAGGAAACTTTCAGAAATTGTATTGGTTATATTGTCTTTATCATGAAAAAGACTATCTTCTATGATCTTTGAAAATCAAACTTCAGTAAGTCAGAAAATTCCCACTAAGCTAAAACTCTTCCACCATCCATATATCGCATTCTCAATTTACAGAGTTCAATTTCTGTCATATAGAAAGCCTCTTCAATATCACGTCCACCATTGTTCCTAGAGCGTTACAGAACCGTCACGACTGGTATTCTACTCTACTCAGATAAAGACAAATCTCGAAGGACCCTATTGGAGCTACTTTTCTCACAGCCGCTTAGAAATAATTTTCTGAAAAGTTAGACCTGTTCCCAGCTGCTCAAAGATAAAAATCGGTCATGACAAAAGGAAGTGTCAGAGGCAAACATTAGTTCAGAAATGAAGAGAATTTTGAAAACTGGATCTTTGTTTTCTAAAACTTTATGCATTGAAAAAAAACATGAAATCAAGAAGAGTGAGCAAGAGAGAGAGGGAACAAGTTGATAATGATAATAAAGACCATGTATGTCTTGCCAAGATGATCAGTTCATAGTGTAGAGTGGATGCGCTTCCTGTAAGTGGCAGGCAAATGTGACCCTCATGAATAGATATTGCTGTGGGTCACTGGAAACTTGCACTAAATCCCATCTCTCCTGCATTTTATTATAAATATTTACAATCAGAAAGTTGAAAGAATTGTACAGCAAATGCCTAAATTTTACAATTAATGTGTCTCTGCACTTGCTCTGTACATCAAGCCAGCTAATTTTGGATGCATCTCAAAGTGAGATGAAGACTAAATAGAACATTTCAATATTGTACATTAATGTCTACGATTCTTATTTTTAAGTCAAATCTATCTACATTGAAATATATACATCTACATAAGTTTAGATGTGATCATTCTATGATTTTTAGAACTATAGATGTTTATGTAACTCAAATCTTTACATTCTGTTTTCAAATGATTTCTTCTGATGTGGTGAATTTTCACTTTCAGGTTTGTTTCCTGCTATTCTCAATCTTGCCAGCAATGCTCACATCAGCACCAATGCGACCTGCGGTGAGAAGGGGCCGGAGATGTTCTGCAAACTTGTGGAACATGTGCCCAATCGCCCTGTGCGGAATCCACAGTGCAGGATCTGTGATAGCAACAGCGCGAGTCCCAAAGGCAAGTGCTGCTGCTTCTATCCAAAGTGCCAATGATACTTTATTATGTTAGCCATGAGAACTACAGACTTCTATTAGGAGTCCATGAACATTGTAGTCCCTTTCAATGCTATTCATTTTTCTACAAGTTTTACTGTTCAGGAGCTCTAAAAATTTTAATGCAAGAACTGAGAGGGATGCACTTTTTTGTTTTTTAAATAGAGCGACATCCTATATCCAGTGCGATCGACGGCACCAACCACTGGTGGCAGAGTCCCAGTATTCAAAACGGGAGACAGTACCACTGGGTCACTGTCACTCTGGACTTGAGACAGGTAAGTAAGGCCAGACTGTTGAAGAATGTTGATGTTCTACTGAGCTATATTCTGATGACTTTTGGCAAAGTCTAGCTTATTTCTTAACATGTTGAACTGTTTTTTGAGCAGGTAATGTCAAGTGGTGTATACAAGTAGTTCATAGTGCCATTTCTTGTCACATTATCATACCACATTTATCATCATGCTAGGTATTACTGAGAAGGTGCATGGAATTGTTTTCCTATGGCTTACTTTTCTTAGATGTTGTAGGACATTTTCATCCATTCAGGTGCCAACAGAGGACTAGGAAGCAAAACATACAAAGTCCTGCCTTTTGAGCTTGTTGTTAACTGCTGTCAAGTTAAAAAAAATTCTTCTACTCATGGTAGACTATGTAAAAGGGGGCTTTAAAAATAAAATTAAATGATATGAAAATTTTCTACTAACTGTTTGAAGAACTTCATAGAACAAGCATTGCCTAACCCATTAAATCCCATTGCCTAACCCTGTGTTCTTTTCATGATATTTGGACATTGGCTCTGGATATACACTGTGTCATTAATACACCTGACAAAAGTAATAGTAATTTCCTAATAGCTATTTAGCTGTTCATATTCAAATGTCACCACTTTGTTAGCTTATATAACATTTTTAATTTTCAAATTTGGAGCCCAAAGAATCATTCATTACATTTGGTGTTTATGCTTCTTAAATAATTTTAATCTGAATAATCCATGGGCTGGGTTGGATGACATCCCCCAAGAATATCTGTTTTCCAGCCTAACCACTATTCCTGTGCTCTTGGATTCATTGTTGTATTAATGAGCGCAGTTAATGTAGGCTTATCTTGAGTCATTCTCTTCTGCGATAGAAAATGTCTTCAATAAACTAGGAGAGGAGGGGCCAGGGGAGGAGTGATACCAAGCCACATCCTGACGCTCCAGGGGCAGAATCTCAGAGACAAGCACCTTCATCCACAGCCAACGGAGTGGCAAGCCTTCCCCAAAGCTTGCAGCACCCCGAGTCCATACAGCTAGTCTTCTAAACCGAGAAATTAACTTCGGCTTCTTAAAGCCACATACTTCGGTTTTTCTGTTACAGTAGCACTAGATAACTAAGAGAGAATTTGGTCACAGAAAATGCTGGTGCTGCTGTAACAAAGATTTGTAATATGGAAGAGATTTTAGAAGTGGTGATAGGGAGAGGCTGAAAGGCTTTTAAGGTGCCAAAAAATAAAAGTCTTGATTGCCTTCACAAGACTGTTGGAAGAATTATGGATGTTAAAGGCTGTAAGTCTCAACTCAAAGACATTGGGCCATTCTGCTCAGCCCTTCCAATTAAATGCCCGGAGACACCCTTTTCCTCCAGCCGGCCTCCCAATCAGCTTTACATGCTCTATGGGCCGGGAAATCCACTGCTTTCTCTCAGACTCTGTCCCCTGGTTCTGCTGTTGCTGCTCCTCTGCCACATCTCTGGGGTCCAATTGGTCCCCTGGGTGCAGGTGGCTCCCTGCACAGGAATGCGTTCCCCTCATGGTCTTCCTCACCTGCTGCTTCCTGCTTGAAATGGCTCTTGTTGGACCCAGTCGGATGGCAATCACAGTGAATCTGTAAACAATCACTCACAACTGAATCGTAATACAATCAGTTTCTTTCCTCACCTTCTTACCTAGACCCATCAGGAAAGCAAAGTTCCATTGTGTGGGAGGGACAAAGCATAAGGCAGAGAAGCCCTCGATAAGTCACTGCCAGGCAGTGTGCAGCATGTGTCCATGGTGTGACAGCCCTCCTTTCGCTAGGTCTACAGCTTCTGGTGGGTTTGCTGGATTGTATGGTATTTCCATTTTCAACTTTCAAAGTAAGTGCCCAGTGTTTTCAAGTGGTGAGACCATTTTACACCCCACCAACAGCAGCTGAGGGTTCCAATAGCTTCGCACTGTCTTGCGTCTGTTGTTTTTTTATGTTATTGAGCTTTGCTACTAATATTGGCGTGTGATGATACCGCATTGCTATCTTGTTTTCCTAATTCACAGGCACGTCTCGTGTTGTTGGCCACCTGAGAGTTTTATTGGATGAGATGTCTGTCATGTCCTCTGCTCATATTTTAATTGGACTATTTCACGTTTGGTGATTGATTCTTTATAAGCCATCTTTGGAGTTTTGAATGAATTTTAGGGTTCGTCTCTTGTCTAATATGGTGTTATCAAATGTTTTTCCCAATCTGTGGTTTCTTACTCTTTTGGTGAAGTCTTTTGATGCACATAGTGTATAACGGTAGGAGGTTCTAGTCATCTAGTTCATGTTCAGTTGTTCATGCGTTCCCTGCGATATTTGATAGGGCTTTTATGCCATGTATTAGATCTCCTACATTTGCCCCTATTTTTATTTGATGATCTATTTGGCTTAGGATTTGCATAGAGGTCTTTGATACATTGTGAGTTAATTTTTGTGTCGATGTGAAATATTGGTCCTGTTTCATTTTTCTGTGAATAGAATCCACTTTGGTCAGCACCATTTATTAAAGAGACTCTCCCTTCTCTAGCTAGTGCATTTGGATTCTTTGTCAAAGATCAGCTGTCCACAGGTGATCTTTAGGGAGTCAGTTCTATCCAATCAGTCTATGTGTCTGTGATTGTACCAGTACCAAGCTATTTTGAATGTGGTGGCTGTGTAGTAAGGTTTGAGTGTTTTGCTTCTCTGGAGTCTCTTTCTTTTCCCTGTAATCTCAGAATGGAAGATAGATATATGATAGATAGATAGATAGATAGATAGATAGATAGATAGATAGATAGATAGACAGATGATAGATAGATCACTGCCATCCAGTAAATGCCACCATATGACATAGGCCAGGGTAGAACTATCCCTGTGCATTTCTGGGCCTCTGTTCTTGAGTGTAGAAGACCTCATCTTTTTCCTGTGGAGTAGCTGGTGGTTTTGAGCTGCCAACCATGTGGATCTCAGCCCCACACAAAGCAACTACACCACCAGGGATCCATTTCCCAACTTAATGAAACCTAAAAGTCAGAGTCATTACGTTTTGAATACTTTTTGTTGTTGTTCTGCTAGGAAAAGAGAAGTATTCTTAACATGTTAGTAGGCATGTCTCGTGTATCAGGCGTGTTAGTAGAGGCAATATTGTCTTTCCTTCTAAAAATTAAGACAGTATGAGGTTCACTTGATGATTTCTTTTCATTCGTTGGTCAATGCCTTTTTCCTGATGACCTATCTGTGTGTGACGATGCTGGGTACAGGAGCTCTCCTGGTGTGGTGGCTTCAGCAGGTCCACAGTTTGAAACAACCAGCTGCCTCTTGGTGGCAGAAGGCTCTTTCCAGGCCAGTACCAGCTCCCGTCTCAGAAACTCAGAGGGACTGTTCTCCCCTGTCCTACGGGGTTGCTCTGAGTCGGCAGCAAAGTGGTGGCAGTGAGTGACCAGAGCAGAATTGAAGGGACAGATGCCCAGCCACATGGAAACTGTCTGGAGTTGGAAGCTCAAAAAGACCTTCCTCCAGCGCCAACAGAGATTTTTTAAAAAGCCTTCTCCTAGAGCTAGCACCCTGAATTTGAACTTCTTACCTCCCTGTGAGAAAAGAAATATCTGTCTGTTAAAGTCATCTAGTTATTGTACTTCTGTTGTGGCAGCACTGGATAACTAACATAGTCCTTTTTTTTTCTCCTTATGATGCTATTGAATTTTCAATATATTTGTCCAGGTTTATTGAAGAAAAGCTTACCTTCTGGGTTTGTGTTTGTCTGATTATTCCATTGAGGTTTTGCAGAACATATTCTTTATGCCCTGTTTTTCCATATGTTCAATCAGCTCTAAAATCTTGGTAAAATTCAATGCTGTTAATAGACATTTGGATTATTCCCACCTTTAGGCTACGATGAATAATGTCTGTTATGAGTAATACTAATATACATATTTGTGTATACTTTTTATTTGTTGAGAAATATTTACATTTCTCTTGGGTAACTATGTATGAATAGAATTGTAGTGTCTTACTTAAATTTTGAGTTTAATCATTTGAAAAACTGCCAGGCTATTTTCAACATTGGCCAGACCATTTTACTTATACCTTTCTCAGTGTGTATGGGTTTTAATTTCTTCACATCCTTGTCAATACTTGTTATTGTCTACCTCGTGATCCTAGTCCTTCTAGCCCATATGAAGTAGTTTGGATTTATAGATAGTTCCCCGATGACTAACATTGTTGGACACATTTTCCTACTGTTAACTGAAAGTTGGAGATCCAAGTCCTTCCAGAGACGTCTCAGAAGTTCTGTTGATTTACGTGTAAAACACCAACTATTTAAAACCCTACGGAGCACACTTTTAGTGGAGACTAGTCTTTTTAGATCCTTTGTGTATTTTTTTATTGTGTATAATTGAGTTGTAAGGGTTTTTGATTTAGTCTAAATACAAATATGATTTGCAAATAACTTCTTTCTTTTTTTTCATTTTCTTGATGCTATCCTTTGGAGCTCAGACATTTTAAGTTTGGATGACTTATTTTCTTTTCTTGTTTGTTTTTTTGGTATCATATCTAGGATTCTTTGCCAAATCCAACATCATGGAGATTTATCTATATATTTTGTTTTGTTTTGTTTTGTTTTCACTCATAGTTGTAGGTCTCTGGCCCATTTTGTGTTGATTTTTGTATTAAGTATGAGGTGAGGGTTCAATGTTATTCTTTTGTGTGCAACTTTGTGTGTGTATGTGTGCAACTTCTCCAGTTGTCTGAACACTCTTTGTTGATAAAATTCCCCAATCCTCACCCCATTAGAATGAATCAAATTCAATATCTTAACTGTATCCTATTGTCTATATATCTATCTTGGTCCAGTATCACACTATTTTGATTATCATTGCTTTGTACTAAGTTTTGAATTTGTATTAAGTATGATATGTCTACTTTATTCTTATTAAAATTTGTTTTGACTATTTTGGTCCCTTGCAATTTTAGAGTCTATCAATGTTGACAAATAAAGCAAGTGGGCTTCTGCTACAGATTGCA